CTATAATCTTTATATATTTTAATCGTACAGTTGCACCTAGCGGACCCATGGTAGCTGTGAGGGGCTGGTTTCTCCCACAAACTTCATCATTTCTTCCATTTGCCTTAGCTACCCCACAAGTAAAAGCAAGTTTCAGAGTCTCTTTTGACATCCACCTTGATCTTTTCTTTTTTTCCTATTCTTTTCTTCATGTACAATCTTGATGTCATCCCACAGCTCATCAGGTTTTCTGTCCTTAAGTGTTAAATGCATCACATCTGTTGAGATGTTCTCAACATTCAAGTGAGATATACTCAAGGTTGTATTTTGACTTTCGTGAACTTGTTTTAATTTTCTTCAACTTCAATATGAGCAATTGATGGTCTGTCCCACAGTTGGCCCCTAGCCCCGTTTTAGTTGCTTATATTGAAATTCTCTACTGTTTTATTTCCACAGATGTAGTCAACTTGATATCTGTGTTTTCATCTGGAGAACTCTGTATGTACAGTCATCTACTGTGTTGTTGAAAAAAGGTATATGCTATGAACAATTTATTGGCAAAATTTTAGCATGTGAACTCCAGCTTTGTTTCTATCACCATGACCATATTTTTCATATTTTACTGTCTCTGTTTCCAACTTCTGCATTCCCTAACACCATAAAAGAGGAGAAAAGAACTGATCATATGTTTAAATCAATGGATCAGAACAGAAAACCCAGGCACAAATGCATCAGCCTACACGCAACTAATCTTTGACAAAGGACCTAGAAATAGCCAATGGGACAAAGACAGCCTCTTCAACAAATGGTGTTGGACACACTAGATTTCCAGATGCATATGTAGAAGAATGAAACAAGACCCATATATCTCCCCATGCTCAAAAATGAACTCAAGAAGACAAGACAGATGATGAAATTAAATCACTTATGCACATTAAAAGACCATCAGGAGAGTAAAATGAGAGCCTGCAGATTGCAGGTGTATGGGAAACAGAAGGATTTCTCCCAAGTTGTTTCCCCCAAATACATCCCAGACTTAGCTGCTCGTGCGAATGACTATACATTTGGAGGTCATCAGGAGTAGCCATCTAGAGCAAGCAGACACCACTGTTTATCCCACAACAAATAGGGCCCACTCCCTTCTGATAAGGATAGTAGTTGCCTGTTTCCTTGTAGGAGATACCAGAAAGGTCAAACCCACCCAAGGATGACCAAGGTTAGGCTGCCATCATGAATCTAGGGTCCACCCATCTTGTTACATGCATACCCCTAGACCCTCCCATTCCTATGGGCACACCCCTAGTTCATCGTCTTCCTGTCATGCTTATATGCCTATCATACATCCCCTTCCTACAATATGTATGCCTATTGCAGTGCACCTTCCTGTGACATGTGGTTACCTGTAATCATGTCCCCCTAATGAGATATAATCCTTGGTTAGCAATAAAGTTGAGGCTCTCCCCGGTGGGAGATTACCAACGACACATTGGACAAGGGTCTAATGGCCAAAATATACTGAACTCTGCAACTGCTCAATAACAAAATAATAAGAGATTTAAGAAATGGGAAAAAGACAGATTGAATATGTATGCAGTGAACCCTCGTTTATCGCGGTTAATTGGTTCTAGACCCTACCGTGATAAATGAAATTCCGCGAAGTAGGATTCCTTATTTGTAAATCAAATATTTTCGTAGTTAGAGCATAGAGGACATGAAAAAACACCCTTTAGTCACCATTACACTCTTATTACCCAATTTATTAAACGAAAAAGGGAAAATACAGTAAAACATTTTGGACGTTACAATTATCATTTATTATTTATTATATTATTTATGGCATCCAGCATGTACAGTATGAGCCAATCAGTGGCAGTAATGACAGAGCATGCGCTGTTACGCAAAAACCGCCATAGAGTGAAGCCGCGGAAGTCGAAGTGCGAAGTGGCGAGGGTTCACTGTACTGATCAAATAATCAGAGAAACTGGATTAGATGACAATATGATATCAGAATTGAAGGAAGGTTTATCAACAACCTGAAATATGCAGATGACACAATCTTGCTTGCTGAAATTGAAGAGGATTTGAAGGACTTGCTGATGAAGATCAAGGATTGCAGCCTTCAGTATGGATTATAATTCAATATAAAGAAAACCAAAATTCTAACAACTTGACCAATAGATAACATCATTATAAATGGGGAAAAGATTTGTTATCAAGGATTTCATCTTACTTGGATCTATAATCAGTACTCATGGAAGTACCAGTCAAGAGTCAAATGACACATTGCCTTGGGCAAATCTGCTGCAGAAGACCTCTTTAAAGTGTTGAAAGGCAAGAGTTTTACTTTGAGGACTAATATGTGCTCCTGATCCAAGCGATGGTATTTTCAATCATCTCATATGCATGTGAAGGTTGGACATATAATATAGAAGACAGAAGAAAAATCAATGCATTTGGACTACAGTGTTGGCAAAGAATATTGAAAGCACCATGGAGTGCCAAAAGAACAAACAGATCTGTCATGGAAGAAGTACAGCCAGAATGCTCCTTATAGGCAACGATAATGAGAACTTGTCTCACGTGCTTTGGACATGTGATCAGGAAAGACCAGTACTTACAGAAAGATATCATGCTTGGTAAAGTGGGGGAGCAGAGAAAAAAGAGAAGACTCTCAACAAGATGTATTGATGGACAGTGGCTACAACAATGAGCTCAAACAAGAACAATTGTGAGAATGGTGCAGGACTGGGGGTGTTTTGTTGTTGAATGTAGGATTGCTATAAGTCAGAACCAACTCAAAGATACCTGACAACAACAAGGGAAGTTTCCCCCATAATTTTTTGTACTATTTTTCCTGTCAAATTTTTTTTTGGTTTGTTTTTTCCTGCTACTGAGTGCCAATGAGAAGTAGGTTGTTCATCTCGATAAGGTCCCACATAATTTTCAAGTTTTCCTCAGATTCCTTTGCTCTTTTGGATGACCATTTCTCTTGTTGGATTTAGTCAGGAGAATTGTCTTAAATTTCACTAAGTTATCTTTCCATTTCTTTGATTCTATTATGTTTATCTTTTATAGTGTTGTCTAATTCTGCTATTTTATTATTTATCTTCTTGAATTCTAATTGGTGTAGACTTTCTAGTCTTTCTGTTATTCTCGTAATCATTTCCTTTATCTATTTAAAGTACCTGAATATTACTCCTTTGAGTTCTATTAATTAATTCCAGGGATTTTTCTACAGAATACTCCTTTGGATCTGTTTTGTTCAGTTGTTTGTGCCTCTTTTCTGTGGTTCTATCTTTATGTCTTGTCTTTGGTTGTTGTGTCTGGACTGCAATTGTCTGCTGTTTCTGCAGCATCATGGTGCAGCTGACCATATTGTGTGGGCTACCAAGTCATGTGAGGGTAGTTTACTATGTCAAGTGATGCTAGAAAGGACTAATAGAAACCATGAAATGAAGGGAATGAGAAGGAAGAAAGTAGAGAATATCTTTTAAAAAGAGAGAGAAAGGAAGGGGAAATAGAGAAAGAAAAGTGAAAAGTGAAAAAAGGTCATTTGGAAGAAAGACTAAAGAAAACTGGGAGTTTGAGAAGGAGAAAAAAGGACATGGGGGTGCTATTGATTAGAGGGGAAAAAAATAAAAGGGCAAACAGAAAAGGGAAAAAAAAGCTTTGAGGGGATTTTTCTCTTGGTGATCATGCACATGTAAGTATCATGCCAATCATGCACATGTTTCACACCAGTCATGAGCATGTAAACGTGTTATACCATGAATGTGAATCCACATGTTTCACACCAGATAATGAATATGCACATCTATCATACCAGGCATTGATTAGTGCTGTGAAGAAACTCAATCCCCAGGGGAAGGGCAGAGTGAGAGGGAGGGTGTGTGTTCCAGAGCAGTCAAGGAGACCTGGTTCAGATTCCTCATGAAGTGAGGTGAGATATGCAAATAGGCAGAGGACCCAATTGGAGAGAGCAATATATGCAACCATCTGTGGCAGGAAATACAGTGTTTGAGGAATGACCAGGTGAACCCTGTGAATGAGGGAGCAGAGGATCATAATCAGTCAGACAAACAGAAGCAGGGAAAAGCAGGTCCTGAGACTCATGTTCCAAAATTGGGGTTTATTCTGACTGTTGGATTACACTGGGGATTTCCAGCTGGGGGATGACATAATCTCTGTGCTAAGATGATGTGTTGGCTGATCTTTGAAATTGAATCCACTTGGGAGCTACTTACATGTTGATGTGAGATATGATGGACAGATGTGTACATTGAGAGGGTGTAAGAAGTCTGAACGAGGTGTCATTTGAAACAGAACTTCCTATTATATTTCACCTGGTGAAGACTGAGTGAAATAACCCAATTGTGAACAGGAGTGCAATATAAGAAAATACATGTTTTCATTTTTAAAATTTTGGAAAGTTAAGAGACACAGTCAGCAGGACCCAGTACCCTTTAGTTGGTGGGCCTCAACCAGCTGTGTCTTGTTCACAGAGTAATCCTCGATTAAACATGTCTTTATTACCACACACTCTCTCTAACCATTGCTACACGTTGCCTTTCCATGTGCGAACCTCCAGACTGAGGGCTGGATTCAATTAATCTTTCTTCTAGTAGAAATGGTCACTAGAGAGGTTTCTACCTAAGTCATCTTGAGCAGCATCTCTCAGGAGAAACAATAAGCTGCTAATACCATGTCCAAGTAGTGACAGAACTTAAAAGATGCCTGTGGACTGTGGAAAAGGCCATTGCAGTTTCAGCTATGTCAAGAACACTCCCTCCAATTACTACTTGAATACCCCTAGTCTGGCTGAAATGTAGGGAAAGACGATGGTTTTGATTTCCAATTGTTGAGAAGATGCTGTGAATAAAACTGAAGTGAAATGTAGGCCTGTAAAGGAGAACTTTGTAAAGACAGATCCAGTGTTGTGAGTAAACTATGAATGATTATGGGGACAATGCAGATTACCCATCAGCCTTACACCAATTCTGAGTGAAAACTTTCTCTTTCAGGAGAACCAAAGCCAGAGGTTAATCCATGTCCCTCCTGTCCTCTTGCCTTGTCCAGTCAACAACTGAAGCACAGCCACCCCTTTCAGTCCTTACCAGGAACACCTGCAGAAAAACACCTCCAAGCAGAAGACTTCCATCCAAGGGGGCAGAAGCTGCACCATTTTGAGCATCACATTCGGAATGAGCGAGCAGAAGGTCTAGAGACAGGAGATGGGTCAAAACCCATGCTTGAAAGGACAAGGCTGGGGAAAATGTCAAAGACCACCTATAACTCACCCAAAGGACAAACGAGGAGCTCTGGGGAGACTAATAGAATAAGGGAAGCAGATCTCAACCCAGGTCAGGGAGTGAATGCTGAAGACACAAGAAATTTATTCTTGGGTATAGGAATATCAAGAATTGCAAAAGTCAGGTGTAGAGAGTGTGGACATGGCTTTAGTGTTAAGTCCAGCCTCATCACACATCAGAGGATACACACAGGGGAGAAGCCCTATGTCTGTAGTGAGTGTGGGCAAGGCTTTAGCCAGAAGTCAGTCCTCATCAGACACCAGAGGATACATACTGGGGAGAAGCCCTATATCTGCAGGGAGTGTGATCGAGGCTTTAGCCGGAAGTCACACCTCATAAAACACCAGAGGACACATTCAGGGGAGAAGCCCTATGTCTGTAGGGAATGTGGGCAAGGCTTCAGCCAGAAGTCAGTTCTCATCACACACCACAGGACACACTCAGGAGAGAAGCCCTATGTCTGCAGGGAGTGTGGGCGAGGCTTCAGCCAGAAGTCAGATCTCATTAAACATGAGAGAACACACTCAGGGGAGAAGCCCTATATCTGCAGGGAGTGTGGGAAAGGCTTCAGCCAGAAATCGGATCTCATTAAACACCAAAGGACACACTCAGGAGAGAAGCCTTATGTTTGCAGTGCGTGTGGGAAAGGTTTCAGTCAGAAGTCAGACCTCATCACACACCAGAGGACACACTCAGGGGAGAAACCCTATGTGTGCTGGGATTGTGGGCGAGGCTTTAGTCGGAAGTCACACCTCATTACACACCAGAGGACACACTCAAGGGAGAAGCCCTATGTCTGCAGGGAGTGTGGGAAAGGTTTCAGCCAGAAGTCAGACCTTATTAAACATGAGAGGACACACTCAGGGGAAAAGCCCTATGTCTGCAGTGAGTGTGGGCGAGGCTTTATCCAGAAGTCACACCTCATCAGACACCAGAAGACACACTCAGGGGAGAAGCCTTATATCTGCAGGGAGTGTGGGAAAGGCTTCAGCCAGAAGTCGGACCTCATCACACACCAGAGGACACACTCAGGGGTGAAGCCTTATGTGTGCAGTGAATGTGAACGAGGCTTTAACCAGAAGTCCGACCTCATGAAGCATCAGAGGACACACTCTGGGGAGAAGCCCTATATCTGTACTGAGTGTGAACGAGGCTTTAGTCAGAAGTCAGACATCATTAGACACCAAAGAACACACTCTGGGGATAAGCCCTATGTCTGTAGTGAGTGTGGGAGAGGCTTTAGCCAGAAATCAGACCTCATGAAGCACTACAGGACACACTCAGGAGAGAAGCCCTATGTCTGCAAGGAGTGTGGGCAAGGCTTTGGTGATATGTCAAACCTGATTAGACACAGGAGAAAGAAATGCAGTCCAAACTCTCCTCTTCCCCAGCTCTGAAGGGCTGTAGAACAAGTTTACTGATTCCTTACTCCCCAGAGTGTAGAGGGCAGACTGCTGAGTAAACAGATCCATTTTGGGTGGGTGTCAAAAGAGAATGTAATAAAGCATGAGGGTCCCCGATGTGGTCAGGGTGTTGTTGACTGTAGTTTTCCTTCCCAACCAATCTTCTCCCTTGGTGTTTTGTTATAATAAATGTTGCCATCATACAGACCTGTAGCCCGGATCACATTCCCACAGCACTTCAGCCCCTGAAAAGGTGAAATGTAGAGACTAGTTAAATTTGAGAATCTAATCTGGGTCCAAGAACTGAGGTTGGGACTGTCAGTAGGAGAAGAGAGCTCTTTGATCTCCTGGGAGGTACGGCTTTCTTTTCTAATGGCCACTTCCTTCTGAACCATCTGGAAATATAGCTCTCCAGTTTTCTGCATTCAGTGTCCTCCCAGATTCCTGAACCACACATACCCCAACATACCAAACTAAGTCTATTCCCTTGACTGTGCTCCACCTGCCCTCTCCTCAGAGCCTATGAACATTTGGCCCTCCCCAGCCCACGTCATCAGCCCCTAAAGTATCTCCCAGTCCCTCTGTAAGGCTCTCTTTGTGACAGGGCCATATGGACCACTCCTAAAATGGGTTTCCAGTCCTCTTGGGCTGTGGGAGGCTAAGTGTGAGGGTTTTCAGCTTTCTGTCTTGTAGATCCAAGTTTACCCTTTCAGGCTCTATGACAGTAAAAGTTTCATCTTTCTCCTGCAGAGAGTTTAGTGGTTTTGAACTTCTGACCTTGTAGTTAGCAACCCAATACATACCATTACACTACCAGGGCTCCATGAGAAAAAAAGAACTAGTATATTTCCTTAGACAGCTGGCAGGATGCCAGACTTTTTCCAGAGGGCGCTGGGGCTGCTGTAAGATGAGGAAATTTCTTTCACTGGTAGCTCACCTATTGCTTGAATTGCATTTGCAGGCACAGCCTTTGTTCTACTTTCACCCAGCCTAGGCCCCCAAAGTATGGTTGGCTATTCAGTTCCCCAGGCGCCCTATGTCTTGAAGGCACTGGCAGAAAGAGAGCTCAGTAGAAGTCTCCAGATGCTGACTTCTCACCTTCCTGCACATTTATCCTACTGTAAGGGAAGAATTGTGCCTCCCACCAAAATAATATATCCATGTCCTAACTCCACCCCCATACATGTGAATATGATCTGATTTTGAAAAAAAAAAAGAAGGTCTTTGCAGATGGGATTAACATGAAATCATCCTGGATTAACTGAGTGGGTCCTAACATCAATGATCAATCTCCTTAAAGAGTCAGAAAAAATAAGAAAATTATGTGAACAGGGAGGCAGAGATTGAAGGCAGCCACAAGCCTGGAGCTATCTCATATCTAGAGCCTTCAGAGGAAGCTCCGCCTTGATGACACCTTGAAAGTAATAATTTATAAATTATCAAGGGTTCAGGGGGAGGGGGGAGCGGCGAGGGAGGGGGAAAAAGGAGGAGCTGACACCAAGGGCTCAAGTGGAAAAGCGGGTATTGTGAGAATGATGAGGTCAATGCATGTACTAATGTGCTGGACACAAATGACGTACGTACGGATTGTGATGAGTTGTATGAGCCCCTAATAAAATTATTATTAAAAAAAAAAAGAATAGCACAGGGCTCTTAAAGGTTTGTCTTAAAACAAGCAGCCATCTAGGTGAGGCATAAACAAAGTCCACATGGAAGCAGCACACTAGCCTGTGTGATCCAGTTATTATAAATATTAAAATCCAAATCTGGAGGGAATGATATGAGCTTAAATTGTGAACATCCTTTTGCAAAAGCCTATGAACGACAGTGGAAGCCCAAAATCCATTTGGTCCCTCATGGATTGTCTCCTCTGACCACAGTTGAGGGATGTGAATAGCCTTGCTACCAGAGAGCGCTGTAAATTTGATTACGGTAGATGTCATTAAGTGAAAACATAATACTGTATTATTTGATAGCCCCTTTAGCCCATTTTAAAGGTTTGTTTAATATTTTTGACTTTGTCTTTGAGTTTTCTTTCTAGTCATTGTAGTTGGGTTTTTGTTTGTTTGCTTCCTGTTTGTGTTTTGTATGATTTTATGCATATGAAATCCAGGATAGGTAGATCTATAGAGACAGTAACTGGATAGGGGCCTAGCAGGGGAGGATGGGGGAAAATGGGTAACAATGAGTATGAGGAAAAAAAGGTTCTGAAATTGATTGTGGTGATGATTGCATAAGTATTTTAATACGACCAAACAATTAAATTGTATATGTGATTTCTATCCCTAAAAAGCTATTAAAAGACTTGTTTGTATCAACTGTTAGGACTGGGAGCGCTTACCCGAATAGTGGAAGGAGATCAGACACAAGGCTGCAATAACAAAAGAGGTTTTGTTTGTACTAGCTTAAGCCAGGGCTCAAGTCCTCAGGTCCTCAACCACCGCACTGTCTTGGACAAGAGCCGAACAAAGGGAACGCTGCCGTTTATATACACAGGGTTTACATAGCCAGGGCGTCCCCAGCCCGCGCCTCCCGCTTTCCGCTGATTGGCTTGTTTGTGGTGGGTTGGCAGTTTGGTCCTTTGTGTTGTTCCCGCGCTGGCTATGTCGTCTTCTCATTGGCGGTTTGGCCCGCTGTGTCCTCCCCGGGATTTTCCAGCTCTGTACTATACACAGAACAAGATGAAACCAAGGTCTACCCGAGGTTGCGGAGCCTGCCATGGAGGCAATTTGGCTTTACACAACGTCAAAAAAGAATTTTTTTTAAAGAAGGGAAAAACAAACAAACATGCAGGTGGTACGTTTAGTGAAGTGGAATCACTTATGGCAAGGAAAAAAGAATTAGACCTTAGGAGTCTTTAATCATACCAAGATCGTATGTAAAATGCTCTTCCTCAGTATGTATTAGAGTGTATCTGTAAATTTATACGTAATGTTTCCAATATCTAAAGTCAGAAAGATTGAATTTATAAAGACACTGATAATAAAAGACAATCATAATAAAAAGACTAAGTCAGATATTCAACGCACATTAGAACTTGGTCGGAAAGTAACCCCAACATAAAGTTGGGAACTGCTTGCATTTATAATTCCCACATTATATTCAAACTTACCAAATTGTTTAGAAAGTATGTGGCAGCTGTTGATTTTTCAGTAGAGTTGATCAAGGACCATGCACTGCATTTTTGGGGCCATTTAAACTGTAACTTATAAAGCTTGGAGGATCTAAGGGAACCTACGTAGCCGCGCTTCAGTCTAAAAGTCGGTAGTGGCGCGGGAGGACTCCTGGGAATTGTGCGCTGGTTTCCAGCCCGCCCCGCCCCCCGCGGCGGCACTGGTTGCGGTTAGCCCCGCGTGCGCATGCGCAGTCTCCTTCCCGCTTCTCGGAGAAGGCGCCCGATGCTGCGAAGTGTGAGGGAGCGCCGGGCATTGTGCGTAAAGCGCCAGCTGAGGCGACTAAGGTAAGGTGACCGGATTTAAAGCGGGACACCCTTGACCGGGAGCGAGGGGGTGTTTTTGATTAAAAATTTGGTCTATATGGACCAAATAGACCGTTCCCTAGCTTGTCGTGCATTCTCTCAAAAAACCGAGACTTTTAAAAAACGCCAAAAATTGGGACTGTTCCACCCAAAGCAGGACGTTTGGTCACCTTAGAGAGATGTGCATTCCTTGAAAGGGAAGAGATTAAGGACGAACACTGCAAGCGGTATTCTGGGAATTAGGTAAAATGGCACCTGTGAAGTGATTTGCACCTCAGCCAGAGACTAGTGTGGATTGGCACACAAGTTTTCCCTTGTAGGTCGGCATGACGTTCTGTGGTGAGGTGGCACTGTGGCTGGGGTCAGCGATTTGTTAAAAGGTCACCCAGTTTCTGACAGCCATAAACCGCGCAGTGCCTGCCGCTCACTCTTACAATTAAGCCACCCAAAGCGAATTATCAAGAGGCCCTTCTAAGAAACTACAACCCAGGTGAAATTCATTTTTAAATGCCTTATTTTAAAGCACTGCTGTCTCTTATTCCGTTTCCTGTGGATTTGACTCAAGGAATAAAGCAACATCACTAGGGAAATGGATAAAAGATGCAACCTAAATGTTTTTCTACTGTTAATTTGAAGAAAATTATTTTAATAATCTGTTGTTAGCTTTCCCCCTGTCCATCATTAAAATTAATAGAAAAAGCTAACAGTCATACAGTGAAAACCTGCAGGTTTAAGTCCCCATATCACTTCAGAGTCTAATTTGGACAAACAATCTTGCCTTTTCCAAAGCCCAAGGATCCCCAGCTGGCACACTTAGATTTGGGGAGGAGAATCTAGTTGCACAGCTCATAACCCGAGTCCATTTTCTGTTTTCAAAGCTGACTGAATATTTTCTCCCAAGAGTTGCAGAAAACAAACGTCTTGGTTAATCTTTCATTTATTAAAAAAACAAAACAAAAACGCCTTCAGGGGTGGCTTGGTGACAACACACTGTCAACCATTTCTTATCTGTCCTCTGTGTACGAGGGAGGCTTGTGATAAGATGGACGTCCACCACTGGGGTCCTGACTTTTCTGATTTCGCTCTTAAGCTTTATTTCAAGGCATACAATCCTTGCTGAAGCTTCCCCAGGAAGGTTTCTCCAACATAATTATCTTAACCTCAGTTAAGTAGTTAGTTTATTTTGCCAACCTGGCCAATAAACACAGGTGGGGTTAATGGAAAGGCAGAAGGATAAATGGCTCAGTGAACCTCGCCTTTCTAGTTCTTGGTCTCTTGCTTTCTGGTGGTCCAGACCAAGGTGCAGCTGCCTTAGCCAGTTCCCTGCTTTAGCTGGAAAGGCTCACTTCCTGCAAGACATCCCTGAGGAGAAGCCACATGGACCTACCCCGATG